TGAAGGTTCGAGGTTTGCCTAAACCCTAAACCCTAAACTCCAGAAGTATGTAAAATCATGGCCTTTATGGCTGTTACTAGGTTTAGGGTTTGGGGTTTAGGGGTTTAGGGCTTTAGGGGTTTAGAGTTTAGAGTTCAGGGGTTTAGAGGTTTAGGGTTCAGGGGTTCAGGGGTTTAGGGGTTTAGGGTTCTTTCGGATTAGGGGTTGTCGTTTCTTGAAATAGGGTTGGGAGTCAGAGCATTTTTTTGGTATCGTTCCAGGGTTAGACTTTTTCCTTGGGGTTCATTCTCAATCTCCAGCTAAGCTATAGTCTAAACTCCAAGTATCCCCCGTAGTAACCGCTATAATTCTCGGCTATATAATCCCCAAAATAATCTCCTTTAAGGAGGTTGGACTGGAGCTCTCCTAAACCCCAAGCCCTGCTGAAGTGGAGGCATGCCCTCCTCTACCTCCAGAACCACGCGGGCGCTGACCGGGAGTTGGATGGAGTAGCACCCAAGGGTGCAGATCGCAAGAAAGCCCTGTCATGGTTGAAAGCTGCAATGTCGAAGATACTTACTGGTGGTTAGTAGGGAATAAGGGAATATGTAATGTTATAGGGACTATATAGGGATGATATTCGTCTAGGTTATTAGGGAACAAGGGAAAAAGCTATATGGGAACAATAAACTGATGAAATTCCTTTATTCCCTGCTCACCAGAAGTAAGGATAAGTGATGGCGAGAAGTCTTATCAGTTGCCGGTGAAATGGCTGATTGCGAACTGGCGGCTGTGGCCGGATCCGGACAGAAAAGATGAGGAAGGTTTCCTAGACCTCAAGGCACTGGCTGTGAAAAAGCTGGATGCCATAGGCATGAAGTACGAGAAGCAGTACGTGGAGCTTAAGATTGGCCAAGAGCTGGGCTTTATTGGCGAGGATATTGAGATGAAAGTGCGTCCGAGGCAAGATGAATACATTCAGATGCCCGAGGACAGGTTAGGCTTGGAGGAGCAGGAAGATGAGGAGGATGACTACCGGATTTCCCAGGCAGCATATATCGTCCTCCTCTTGAGCGCGGTGCATGCGGTAGACCATCTCTTCCAAGCCCGGGCAAAGGAAATCTGCGAAAGCGTTGGCGGGAGTGTCCGGGCTCCACCTCCGAAAGGTTTCATGAGGACTTCCTGGGAAACTGCTTCCTGCATCCGGTTATCAACTTGAACAGGAGGCTAATTGAAATTTCTCATGGTGCTTGGTTGGAGAGAGGCCTTGACTCAAATCATGAGGCCCCCCTAGGATCCAACAAGTACAATAAGATAGGGGATGGTTTTTGGGATCTGTCTGTGGGTGTGATCCAGAAACCCTGAGGATGTGGGCCAAGCTGGACACAGATCATGCAACGGCAGCCTCACCCAAGGCAGCGGAAAACATCGACACGAATCGGGTAGCTTGGATCTTCCAGGAGATTTGCGAGGGCTTCTCAAGATTAGATGGATCCTCATACATATTCTTAGGGCAGCAAGAAAGTCGCAGAGAGCTAGGCTGAGCATGGCACATACCCCGAACCCAATAAACAAGCTGGGTTGCTGTTAAGGAAGTTACTTGAAGTTACTACACTTGGGAAGTTTTTTCTATACTACATATGCATATACCCATTATGGTAAAGTTCCGTAACAGCAACCCAGCAAAGCAGGCAAGCCTCCGAATTCGGGGATCCACGTTTTTCAATCCAAATTCATCGTGTTAGTTCTCATGCAAGGGAACGTTCCCAAACGAAATCCGGCTTTTGGAAGGCCTCGCAAAAATGATGTCTGAGAACATCCTTACTTCAGACGCTTTAGAAGGTTTCTGTCATCCTTACACATCCACAAAGTCATCAAGGCCCCCCCAAACCCTAAACCCTAAACCCTAAACCCTACAAACCCTAAATCCTAAACACCCTAAACCCAACATGAGAACTTCCCCCATCAACCCTTTGATTCTTCAGGAGCCCTCCCAGCTGCGAGATGCATTTGCAAAGGCCCAGGAGATCTTCGGAACGCCGGTGACCGGGTTTAGGGCTTGAGTTTTTGGTAGGATTTGGGGTTTAAGGTTTAAGGGTTTAGGGGTTCGGGGTTCAGGGTTTAGGGGCTTAGGTTTTAAGGGTTTAGGGGTTTAGGGTTTAAGGGTTTAAGGTTTAGGTAGCTGGGTAGAAGAGGAACCTGAACTTAGATTCAATAACAAGAGCTCCACCTTTTTAGATTGTAAATCAATCTTAGGGCCCATTAATCACAACTCAAGGTGAGGGTCAAGAACGGCTACGACCCCTCCTTCGATGCTTTGAAGGCCGGGTTTGCAAACCACCTGAACACAACCATTATTACTAGTATTTCTATTACTTTGTAGTATTACTACTAGAATTATTATTACCACTATTACTGTTAATACGATTAGTACCTGCAGAAGTCTCACATCAAATGTTAGATGCCATGAAGGATACAAAGGGCTATCGCAACATCTTGGCCAACTACCGCTTTACCCCTGGCCTTACTTGGGGGGCCTTAGCCGGCCGCGACCCGGCGCATGCGGATGCTTCTGCCAAGACGAACGCCGCCTGGGATAAGTTCCGGTCATGGCCTCAGCTCCTACCTGAGAGTAGTTCCGAATTTTTCCAAGTCTGGTGATTTATTGGGATCCCAAAGTAGGGGCTGCAAGTGTCGTCCAAATGAGTTTGCGGCACAACTTGATATGCCTGTGATGAGGCAACTTCTGCTGGACACATACCTGAACATGGGCTTCATCGACGAAGCGAGCATGGATGACGAGCTGCGGCAGTATCTTCAGTGTTGCGACGCTGCTCGACGCTACTACTGCTCGAAGAAGATGCGGAAGGAGCCGGTGGGCATCGTTGTGGAGATTCAGTACATGCTACAGTCCTACTTTGACATGCGCAAGTACACCCACACTTGGTACAAAATCGTCCGAGCTGAAGAGCCTGAGGCTCTCGTCTTGGATTACAATTCCTAGCAGGCTCCAGGGAGATCCCGGGCCGTCGTTAACTTATCTTGATGCTGCCTTAGGCATCGTCTTTGACCTCAAAGTTTAGATGCTTCCGCCCTTCTCGGACTTCCAGAGGAAGTCGCGAGCCATTTCCAGCACCGTCGGCACCTCTACCCATTCTGCACCATAGACCGCTCCGAGAAAAAGCTAGCAAGAAATGCTTCAACATCTGCTCTTCATCCAAACCTTCTAGGGTACCTGAGTAGTATTTAATTTGGGGATACTATGGTACCCAATATAGAGTAAGATTCTATCCTCCTTTTGGGGTATAGTATTTTATATAAGGAATATAATCTTGCTGGGCTTAACCACCAAAAGAAACGCTATTCACCCGGAAGTGCAGCCAGGTTCAAAACTTGAGCCTGCACCCGGTGCTTCTTGATGGCAGGCCATGGGCTCTAAATTGAAAAGGTCAACTGGGCATGTCGGAAAACATGGATCCTTTTATTGGACCCTTACGGTTTACGGTTTAGGGTTCCCCCCCCTCCCCCCATTTTTGAAGGGTTCAGGGTTTAGGGACCCCAGAAAACAGCAAGATTCTGCTTCCAGGGACCTCCCCCCAAATCAGCACAACTTTGACAGACATTCAGCTGCTGCTTGCAGTGGAAGGCCCCTCGGGAAGATGGAAGTGGGCACGATTTCGGCCGGTGGCTCCATTGAATTCATGGGCAAGGCTGGAAAGGGATAGAGGTTTACGGTTTAGGGTTGTTGATTTGTTGCTGAGTCGTTGCGTTCACTTATTCAATTGGAAGAGCTCAACGAGGTACTCATCTCATACAGGACATGACAGAATAAGACGCTCAGCCCTAAACCCAACCCCTCCCCTAGACCCTAAGCCAGAATAAGAATGTGGTATCTTGCAGGACACAAGCCTCCTGGAATTCAGATTGCGACGCCTGCGAAAGCAGCTGGCACTGTCCCAGTCCAAAAGCTGCGATCAGAGCGGCCAGCCAGCATCAGCCCCTCCACCGAATTGCAAACCATCCCATCTGCCTAGTAGATACTCCCCAAACTCATGAAGGTATAATATTCGGGACATATCATGAGTGCGGTGGCCATGTCATGCGCAGGGGGAAGGGAGTACCAAATTATGTGCTTGCTAGCTTTCGTTTTTTTTATTAATGATGGAATCGTGCCACCTTGTCCACCATTCGCTCGTCCGGTTTGATATGCTTGGCTCAAGGATGAAGTGAACTTCATGGAAAGGTCAGTGCAAAGGAAGTGAACTGTGGCACGCATTGAGGGTAGATCTGCTTGTGCTTGACGCTGAGCTCCCCTCGGAGTCGCGGCCACATCCGCTGAGGCAGGAAGCTTCCATGACAAGGGACCCCATGATAGACCTCCAATATCTAGGGACCCCCGGCAAGGTACCACTAATTTTCGGAAACTACCATATTTTCGAGTGATTTTCGAAAGATTTTGTGCTTCTCTGGAGGATGGCAGATCCCAACGGCTACTATGCTGTCCTGGGCGCCCGTGGCCTACTGTGGCGAAGATAATGTAGGTGTTTGTCCGGGCGCTGTCAAAGTCATTCATCNNATCATGAAGGGAAGTCAGGGCTGAGGAGTCGGGAACCAGGACGGCAAGAGTCAGGAATCATGACAGGCCGGAGTCAGGAACCATGAGGGGCGGAAGTCAGGAACCATGGAGCCATGGAAACATATCCTTGCCTGGAGGCCATTGCTGAATCATGCAAAACAGTATGTAGATTTACATGATTTTTGGACACAGACTACATCCCTCAAACTGGAGCACATCAGCCACTGCAATTGCTTTCAAAGGGGGGGCTAATCTCTATCAGATCAAGATCTAGAGATTACGACTTACTCGAGGTGAGATGGCTAAA